AGAGCTGCATGCTGCGACTGTCTGTCAATTGTGTGCAAATACAATCTTACGGTGCTTTCACACATAGACGTTTGTTTCGGAATCTGTCTCGTTTCCCCCGTTAGCGCGGTTTGTTTGGCATATATCCAGCAGTTGCGATCGCATCCGCGCCAAATCAACCAGTCCGAGATCACCTGAATGAGACGGTCTCTGCCCTATTAAGCGGAACGATTGTAGTGAGAAAACAAAACAATGCAACAAACTAACGACCCAGGCATAATAGCCATATATACGGCTATATGAAGAGAGAATGATGAGCAGGGCGAGATGTCATTCTTACTGGTAAATGCGAAAGTGAAAGCATGCTGAAATATTACAGAGAGCTGTTTATCCAGCCTGTTCTCGGTTTATCCGTTAGGAAAATTGACCGAAGTTACTATTTGATCATTTTTTTCATGTTTTAATCTTACAATATGTTGTGTTAGGCCAGTTGTTTTGTTCTTTCATTCGAGCTGTCAGTGCGGAAATGATCAACATTTATCTGCTTCGCGATCTGATGCAGTCTCGGTTCATCTGCTATATATAACATATGTCTCTCTATAATTTAAGCCTGAATTGCAGAATTCTAGCCAACGTTTCTTTAATAAAAAGTTTCTTTAAGTTTCTTTAACTTGTGGTGGATGAGGAGATTCCCCCCATTGTGTGTAAAGCGCTTTGAGTGCCCAGAAAAGTGCTATATAAATGTAAGGAATTATTATTATTATTATTATTAATAGATTGATTAATTCAATAGATAGATTTTGGTAATTATGTGTGTAACTTACCTTTATTCATTTACTGTATGATTTGTTTATGGGTAAAACAAAGACCATGCAGGTCAGGTAGTTTAAACGGTAGGCTACAAATAATTAATTCGTTATTAATTAATTATTCATAATCGAAAATCGAATCGAATTGTGACTTAAGAATCGAAAATGTAATCGAATCGAGGATTTGGAGGATCGTGACACCCTTAATTACAATGCATTCCCTCAATAGCCACTCACATTGTTTTGAAACACAGCCCCACAGCCCCTCAGTATCTGGCTGCACAACACATTTGTTTATACGTGTGGCCCCTTGTCCCGTTGACGGGGCCCAACCGCACACAGAAAGAAACTTTCAGAAAGAGCCCGCTCCAATTACACCGTCTTTCAATCCTGCGTGAAAAATGACAAACTCAAAGGGCAAGACAAAACAAATTAAAGCTGAAACAAGGACGAAACCTAGGAGAGAGGGGGGTCCGCGGGGTGCGGGACGGGATCTGAGGGGTCCCTACAGTTGACACACAGCACTGAAGAGCATTCCAGCGCAAACGGGGAACAAAAGCACACACACACACACAGAGCGCACACAAACAATGGCGAGACGCAACAACGGCACATCAGGACTCCCTGCCCCCTCACACTGCTGGGTTTATGAGAAGCGTCCACTGAGTCCTGGCATTTGGCAAAGACAGATGCTGAGACGCCGCTCACACACACACATATACGCACACACACACTGCGCTGGGAACAGATGGGGGCAGGGTCGCCCCACACAGGGAAACATCCCTCCGTTTCTGAGGGAGAACTTCGCCATTGATCAGCGACATGGAGGTCATTTTACCCGCATACACACACACACACACACACACACACACACACACACCAGACAGACTGATGACCACATGAAGGACAAACAGAACTGAACAGGTGGACCAGTAAAAAAAAAAATGTTTTCAAGAAAACATATCATGTATCCGAATAGACAGCTGTTTGGAACGTTGACAAAAGTGTGTGTTTGCGAGTCTGAGTGTGTGCGCTACTGCCGCTCTCACTCGAGTTTCCAGATGCACTTTGAGCATAATTTTAATATGTGTTTTCCGCTGTGGTTTGATGTTTTATAGTTTGTGCATTAGCAGGGCATAAACGCATCACTTTGCTGCGTCGTCCAGTGATGATTCAGTTGTGAGTGGAGTGTAATGCATTAACTTTCAGTTGAGTCAAAGTTACTAGTGCTAGACTGACGTACTGTACTGGGACGATAGCCGTTTTCAAGGTATACAGCGGTTTGCAAACCTCAAGGCTTCAAAATCGCCAACATTTCCTGCTATGCCGTTCCTAAGGTATATGTAAGATTTTTTTATTTAGGTTTTTTTTTAGGACAACAGTTTTTCCAGCACAAAAGATGTCCAAAGATGCCTTCATTAGTTTCAAAAACACTGATTTCTTTATAATTAAAGACAGCAGAAGTCAGTGATTCATTTGAATTGTTTAGCCTGACATGTTTACTGCTCCAAAATATTTTAAATGTTTATCAAAATAAGATATACTGTGTTCAAAGGAGAAAAATGTATTGTTTTTTATCCAGACGTTTAAAAAGGAGATATTTCAGAGCAGTAATTACAATACCATGAAATCGTGATGTTTCATTCAAGGTTATCATATCATCAGAATCGTTTGCCTATGCCTACGTTCTGAGGTCTTCAAAAATAAAACGCTTTTGCTTTCCTGAGAATGAACTGTGATCATTGATTAATTCAAGATTAGGTCTATCACCAAAAACCAAAGCTTCATAAAATACATACAAATTGTTTTATAAAGTCATGTATTAGCTAGTCTCTAGTGGATTTGTGAAAACAGAAACTGCAAGAATACACAGCCACTGACGTATATTTCCCGGTTCTCAAATATGTAGCCCTGGGAATGTATTTCCAATGAGTATGTCATAAAACACATAGAAAATACTTTAGGCAGTTTGGAGAAACAGACCGAGTTTTGCTTTAACATTCAGAGTAAAACTCACTCTGATAAACTGATATTTGGTTATTCAACTATATGAAACTGTGAATTTCTGTGAAATATATGCTCCATATGTTTGAGGATCATGTTAACTATTATTATTTTCATTATATTATCGTTTTTATATTGATTAATGTGTGTTCTAGGTATCAATTTAGCTATTTATGGGTTGAATATTTATTCATTCATTCATTTTCCTTTGGCTTAGTCTCTATTTCAGAGGTCACCACAGCGAAATGAACCACCAACTATTCCAGCATTTGTTTTATGCAGCGGATGCCCTTCCAGCTGTAACCCAGTACTGGGAGGGAAACGGGAGCACCATGGAGAAAACCCACGCAAACACGGGGAGAACATGCAAACGCCACACAGAAATGCCAACTGACCCAGCTGAGGCTCGAACCAGTGACCTTCTTGCTGCGAGGCGACTTGGTTGAATATATCTAGCTCATTTTTTTAAGTGCTCAGAGGGAATCCTAACAAATTGAATAATCATCCTTAGATTTCCAAATATAAATGTATGTGGGGGAAAAAAAAAACACTGGACCAAATGACTCAACTCATTCACTTACATTGTATGGACATTGAAACATTCTTCAAAATATCTCCTTTAAAGAAGGTTTACTGCTGTTAATAACAAATTCCACAAAATGCTTATGGTTCATTCTAAAATTAAAATCCTATGATTTGGTTCCAACAGGCTCTCTGTGGAACACAAATCAAGATATTTTGAAGGACATTGGAAAACAATCAGCTCTGGACCCCATTGACTTTCATTGCATGGATGAAAGTCAATGGGGTCATTTTTTAAAAAACTCTTCCAAAAAAAAAAAAAAAAAAAAAAACATGCATAGAAATAACTAGGATAATCCCTGAGAACATCAGCAATCAAACAACTGTGGACCCCGCTGATTTTCATTGCATGTGAAACATTTTCATCTCTTTAAAAGAAAGCAGATGGTTTCTAATAATGAATGATTCAAAATGCTTATATGCATAATTATATCACTTGATTCCAACAGGAACATAAGTTAAGATATTTTAACGGATGCTGGAACCCAAACAACGCTGGACCCTTACTGGCTGTCATTGTACAGATGTTTTCAAAACAGCATCTTTTCTTTGATTCTGAAGAATCAAAAGAGACGAGGATGAAAAGATGCTACTCTAAGGTGGAAAACACCTTAAAGTCTAATAATAGATCACACAGAATATTCCCACAAAACAAATTATGAATCAAAGAAAACCCCAGGCTGGCTCTGTTCCAAAACTCAAGCCAAGGCTGCAAGCAGCGCAAAAGCACATCGAAACTGATCTAATTCTGGCAATGTGGCAAAGTGACAGTTAGAGCAAAAGCAACTGAAGTACTTCCAAAATCCCCAATCAAACACGGTTGATACCGACAACCAATTGGATTAAGTGCTTATGAATGCGTGCATACGTTTATATATGGAAGCATGCATGCATGTGTCTAGATGACCCTACATCACTCAATATTCGCCCAATGCAGGGCAGTGTCGCATTTCAGAGTGTGTGTGTGTGTGTATGTGTGTCTCCCATTGATGTGCGGAGCACGCCAACATCATCCGAGCGCAGAGCGGTGTGAAGCCAATCTTATGAGGATAGAGAGGAAAAAAGTGAATTCAGCACATTAATACGTGAAGCACACACACACACATACTCACGATCTACCTCTCTCTCTCTCTCGTGCAGGATCAGTGTGTATGTGCTCCATGGGTTTTAATTAAAAGATGCGCTGGGGCCCTTGAGAATTGACACACACACATATGCACATGCACATCGGGGGCCGCCTGTAAATTGCAGCCCTCTCTCTTGATGCTCGGGACCCGGTGAGCTTCCCACCTTGTCATTGCACCACGCATGCATTAACATCCACCACACCTCCAACAACTTTCTCTGCCCTCTGCGTGACCACAAGTCCCATAAGCGCACAATTCACACTTAAATCTGCCAAATGCACTGCTCATCTGACGAAAAGATCAATGCACAGGCGCGATTTACCTTTGAGACGCGCTGAAAGGAGGTCTCGAACCCCGAGCGCGCTACACAGGCAACGCAAATGCCTTTATACTGCGGAATAAACCTGCTTCAGTTCATGCCCCCCTCCTTCATCCAGCTCGCTGCCCATCCAACTTTCACTCTTCAAAATCGCACTGCATCTGACTTGATCTCTCCTACCTTTTCCTCGGGAGTGATAAATCCGCTCGGTGAGTGACAGGCGTCCACGCGCTACTTTGGCGTATCCATAAGAAGTTCCGTATCTAAGAGCGCATCGGTAGTGCGACCGTCTCGCCGAAGCTCCTGCAACAGCAATGTGCTCCGCGAGCTCTTGCACACAAACACACACACACTTACATACACCCTCTTTCTCGGCGTGGGACCGGGGAAGCGCGCGCACGGAAGGGGGGAAGAGCAAGCGACTCCTGCGGGTGCGAGCATAGCGCAGCCTACCGGACGAGCACACAAACACTAATGCACGCTCACACACACACACACACACACGCGCATCTACATTACACTAACAGACACACACACATACACACTATCATAAGTGGCTAAGCCATCCAGTACTTTAAAAAAATTATTAAATGTGCATTATAAAATTCGTTATTTAAATATATAACAGCCTGCATTATTTTAAATGAATAGCATTGTTAATTTTGTAAACTAGTGATATTAGTTTTGCATTATATATCAGGTCCGTAGCCGGCCTTCTGGACAGGGTCTTTTTTTCTCAAAAAGTGGAGCGTTTTGTAGTTATTCGCCTCATTTTCTATTGCCTTCATCTTCAGCACACTTTCATAGGATTTTAGCTAAAATAGTGTTCAAGTCGATTTTAATATGGGCCGCTTTTGGTGCTTCACACCTTTTTATTGGTCATTTTTTGTTTCAAGAACAAGGTCCAGGATTTAGAATAAAAGTTACTTGTAAAATGTTTTCTCAACAATACAGTAACGAAAGAAGACATCTCTTACATGAGATTGTTTGTTTTCTTGCACAGCTGGATGTTGTACTTGTGAAAAACTTTTGGTAGCATTGGACAAATCTAATTATCTATATCCAGAGGATTTTGTTTGGTCTTAAAGCTTTTTGTGATGGGTTATTTTCACCATGATGGCAGTCAAAACAGGACAAATGAATTTATGTATGGGACAAATTCTGCACCTTTGTCAGTGAGGGGTGGGTCTTCCAAACCACCTGAATAGCTAAATTAAAGTCAGAATTTAGTTTTTTTTTTCTCTTTTAAATATTTCCCAAATAATTTTTAACAGAGCAAAGAACTTTTTACAATATCTCTGATAATATTTTTTTATTCTGGAGAAAGTCTTATTTGTTTTATTTCGGCAAGAATAAATACAGTTTTAATTTTATAAAAACCATCTTAAGGTCAAAATTATGAGCCCCTTTAAGCTTTATTGTTTTCAATAGTCTACAGAACAAACCATCGCTATACAATATCTTGCCTAATTAACCTAATATGCCTAGTTAATCGATGTTAAGCCTTTAAATGTCACTTTAAGCTCTATAGAAGTGTCTTGAAAAATATCTAGTCAAATATTATTTACTGTCATCATGGCAAAGATAAAATAAATCAGTTATTAGAAATGAGTTATTAAAACTATTATGTTTAGGAATGTGTTAAAAAAACTTCTCTCTGTTAAACAGAAATTGGGGGAAAAATAAACAGGCGGGGATAATAATTGTTATAAATCTGAAAATATTATGTTTATTAAATTAGGTTTACACAAATACAAGTCAATTTGAATAAATTCTAAATGTCTGGAACCATTTTATTTCAATAAATACAATAAAGATTTAAAATGCAAGCATATATTATTGAAATTATATTATTTGCATGTATTTTGCTGTGTGTGATTTTGCTTTGTTACATTAAATTTGCCTAATTATTTGTCAAGCCAGATATTGCTACTGTTCCAACTTTCCTTTAACATCAAAATACTGGGGCGATGGGTAGCTTTTTTCTAGGAATGTCTCCTAATGTACAATTTTTGGGTAACATCTCCACTATCTTGACCCAATTGATCCTGAACCTTGCCTTTTCCTACTGAATGATGATTTTTTCAATAACTCTATACCTTAAATAAAAAAGGAACCTTTTTCTCAGGATTATTAACTGCAAAGAAAACAATCACCAGTTCCTGGTTCTCTTCAAGTCTCCTGTCAATTCAGCAATGGTTCCACTATTTTATAGACGTTGTTCGAGTAGAGCAATCCACTGCCTTAATTAACAGAGCAAAGATTTCAGCAATTCTTCATTAGAACCAAATACATGATCATTTGATCTCCATTATTCAAACTTAAGTGATTGAATATAATAATGTAGGAAAAGCGATTAAGATCTCCTTTAAGATAATTATTTTTGTTCTGTTTGATCTGTTTTACAATAATTTTATTAGACACTTTTTTTTTATTTATGTACTTTTCTGACATTATGTATATAGTTTTTTCCATTTATACTTATATAATATTCTATATGCATATACACTCAACGGCCACTTTATTAGGTTACACCTTAAAAGTACCGGGTTGGACTCCCTTTTGCTTTCAGAACTGCCTCAATTCTTTGTGGCATAGATTCAACAATGTACTGGAAATATTGCTCAGAGATTTTGGTCTATATTGACACGATAGCATCACGCAGTTACTGCAGATTTTTCGGCTGCACATCCATGATGTGAATCTCCCGTTCCACCACATCCCAAAGGTGCTCTATTGGATTGAGCTCTGGTGACTGTGGAGGCCATTTGTGTTTAGTGAACACATTGTCATGTTCAAGAAACCAGTCTGAGAAGATTTGTGCTTTATGACATGGAGCATTATCCTGCTGGATGTGGCCATCAGAAGATGGGTACACTGTGGTCATAAAGGGAACATGGTCAGCAACAATACTCAGGTAGGCTGTGGCGTTGACACGATGCTCAGTTGTTACTATTGGGCCCGAAGTGTGCCAAGAAAATATCCCCCACACCATTACACCATCACCACTAGCCTGAACTGTTGATGCAAGGCAGGATGGATCTTGCTTTCATATTGTTGATGCCAAATTCTGACCCTACCATCTGAATGTTGCAGCAGAAATCAGACCATGCAACGTTTTTCCAATCTTCTACTGTCCAATTTTGGTGAGCCTGTATGAATAGTAGCCTTAGTTTACTGTTCTTAGCTGTCAGGAGCAGCAGGTGGTGTGTTCTTCTGCTGCTGTAGTAGCCCATCCGCCTCAAGGTTGGACGTGATGTGTGTTCAAAGATGCTCTTCTGCATGTCTCAGTTGTAACAAGTTTTTATTTGAGTTGCTGTTGCCTTTCTATCAGCTGGAACCAGTCTGGCCATTCTCATCTGACCTCTAGCATCAACAAGACATTTTTCCATTTTGATGCTTAGTTTGAACTGCAGCAGATCGTCTTGACCGAGTTGCTGCCATGTGATTGGCAGATTAGAAATGTGCGTTAACGAGCAGTTGAACAGGTGTACCTAATATAGTGGCCTGTGAATATATATATATATATATATATATATATATATATATATATATATATATATATATATATATATAGTAAGCTCACATTTACCTGTGACTTTCTACCTTACTTTCTACCTGTCTGTTTTGTTCAGATTGAAACTTCTAGTTCATTACTAAAATGCAGTAGTATTGTCCTGCATGGTCTAGCAGTATATATGGGTCATTTCTGTGTAAATGTGTGTCAGTGCTGATGATGGCGGCTCAGGGCTCTTTTAGAAACGCACTGCCGTGTAATTAACGCAGGCATGATATGATGCACAAATCGATTTCTATTGTGCACCCCTGACTGCATCAGGACAGGAGAAGTGATTTTGTGTCCCACCGGAGTGTCATTCTTCATGCAGAGACACATCACACACTCACACACAGACACTCACACACACGGCAGCAGTGGGTGAGGGTCACGTCTGCTGTCTTTACAAAGACCTCATGACAGACGTTGAAATAGACTTTATTGTGTGCACCTCTTAAAGGCTCTCCCAGCACCATAAAGGGATTAAATAATATCTTAATTAAAATCTAACAATGGCTAGTGGTGTGGGTGTAAGGCTTAGGGTGTACTTATTATTATCAGGCTCATTTAAAAGCAATGTAAGCTACTATAACACATTGAAATACATTTGCTTTGTGTACTTGTGTTGTTGGACACATGCAGGCTTGATTGTGATGATTGAAAATACAGTAAATAGAGTAATAATGTAAAATACTATGCATTCATTAATTTTCCTTCGTTTTTTTCCCTTATTTATCAGGGGTTGCCACAGCGGAATGAACCGCCAACTATTCGAGTTTGTTTTACGCAGCAGATGCCCTTCCAGCTGCAACCCAGTACTGGGAAACACCCATGCACTCACATTCACACACTCATTCATACATTACAAGCAATTTAGTTCATTCAGTTTACCTATAGAGCATGTCTGGACTTGTAGCGGAAACCAGAGCACCTGAAGGTACCCCACACCAACACGGGGAGAACATGCAAACTTCACACAGAAATGACAACTGACTCAAATAACGACTTTTTTTTGTTTTGTTTATGCAAAGGTGAATTACTGTATCAGTGAAATTACTACAGTTTTCATTGTGAAATGACCCTTCAGAAATCCTATGCTGAATTCTTTTTCATTTTTTAATAAACAATAAAAATAATATAAATGTTACTATTATCATTGTTGAATACAGCTGTACTTACATTTGTGGAAACCAATGTAAATGTCATAAGGGCATTAAAAAAAAAAAAAAAAAAAAATATATATATATATATATATATATATATATATATATATATATATATATATATATATATATATATATATATATATATATATATATATATATAATATATATAATATAATTTATGGGTGTCATGGTGGTGTAGTGGGTAGCACGATCGCCTCACAGCAAGAAGGTCACTGGTTTGAGCCTCGGGTGGAAAGGCCAGTTGGCATTTCTGTGTGGAGTTTGCATGTGGGTTTCCTCCAGGTGTTCCGGTTTCCCCCACAGTTTAAAGGCATGCGCTATAGGTGAACTGGGTAAGCTAAATTGTCCGTAGTGTGTGTGTATGAATGAGTGTGTGTGGATGTTTTCCAGTGATAGGTTGCAGCTTGAAGGGCAAATGCTGCGTAAAACATATACTGGATAAGTTGGCAGTTCATTCCGCTGTGGCAACCCCAGATTAATAAAAAAAGCCAAAAATAAAAAGAAAAATTATAATTTATTTAAAATAAAATAAATAATTTTGATTCAATATCATAAACATAATATAGAAACTTATTATTTTTACTTCAGTGAGTTACAAAAGAATAATTATTAGTCTAACTATA